CTAGGTAGGGATCCTCACACTGTCACACGGGCACCCGGCAGCGCCACCAGGGCTGGGAGTGTGCTCTCATACCCACCGAAGCCCCATCCCTGGTTCCAGCTCCTTCTCCCCTGGCTGTGTGACCAAGCCTTGCTGTGTCTGCTCCCTAAAGCCAGCGTCCCCTGCATTTGCCACTTAACAGGGGCATGGAGAATACTGGCGAGACCTGGGCAGTGAGGGGCATGCTGGGAAAGACACTTTTCACTCAGAAAACTCCCTCTCCAACACTGACATCCGAGCACCCCAATGAATCTCGAACTGCTATTCTGTGTATCCCACCGGCACAGCATCCTCATTCACTCATGTCTTTGTGTGTGTGTGAATGTACGTGTGTGTGAGTGTGCGTGTGTGTGCGCGTGCATGCATGCATGTGGAGAGGCTGACACTGGGTGTCTCCCTCAATCACTCCCCACTGCATTTTTCCAGACAGGGGCTCCTGATGAACTCAGAGCTCACTGATTCGGCTAGACTAGCTCCCCAGCAAATCCCAGGGATCACCCTGTCTCTACCGTCTCAGCATGGGGATTACAGGAGTGCACCGGCACAGTTGGCGTTTTAAGACGGGTTCGAGGGGATCAAACTCGGCTTATGTGGCAAGCAGTTTGCCGGCTGGGCCATCTCCCCGGCTCCATTCATTCATGTGCTGTCCCCCGGCACTGTGCTGGGGCCTAAGTCATGACGTGCACTACATGCATATGACCCTTCACTTTCTGTAGGTTCCAGTGATGGGGGAGACAGGGCTGAACACTGACAGTGAAGCAGAGGCTGCTGGGAGATGGAACAAAGGTGAAGAAGCTCTGCCTAGTAAAGGGTCACGCTACAGCCCCAGTGGAGCCCTTGTCCCCAACTGTCCACGGGCCTAGCTGCCTCCAGGCTGCTCACACTGCTCCTCTTGCCCAGACTGCCCCCCCTCGCCTGCCTGTGTCTGCTGTCTGTCTCTGAGAGGCCACCCTCCCCAGTGCCTTCCTCATACCACTCAGGCCGTGTGGCTCTTCAGCTTTGGCCACGACACTGGTCAGGTGGAGGCGTCTAACCAATGCACGGGCAGTGCCTGCTCTCTCCCAAGGCCTCATGTTTCTGACCCTAAATCGATAACCAACTGCCGTGTGACCTCAAGCCCATGATGTCGCTTCTCCAGCCTCAGCAGTCCCCTTCCCCAGGCTTGTGAGAGAACCAAAGGGGAAGACGTGACGTGGGGAAGGATTTGGGCAGCTGCAAACTTTCAGGTCTTCTGTGCTTGCCAGGAAGAGGGGATCTTATTCAAACAGCCTCCTCCTGCGTCCTGGAGGGCAACCAAGAGGTACGTTGGCCCCACAGGCTTGGGCTGTGCTTACCTGGCTCAGGGGTGGGCCAGTTTCTGTTGGGGGTTTGTTTGGGTTTGACTTCATAGGCAGGGAAACTCCCCGGGCCGGTGAGGTGGGCGGAGCCTAGTCAACAGAGTTGCCAGGGGAATCCCAAGGGCTGGGGGCCCTGGTCACCCCCCACAGTGCTCAGGGGCACACACTCGCTACCCAGCAAGGAGAAAGGGTAGTGAGTCTGCCTCAAGGACTGGGTGACTCTGGCAGTCAGGTGACCTGAGTATGAGTCCAGTGCCTCCAGGCAACCAGACTTCTTTTGGGGGGCTTCCATTGTAAGCCTGGGTGCACAATTTATGACTTGGGTGTGTGTGTGTCTCGGGAGATATCACATGGAGATCAAGGACTGGCATGACCACCCCCAGGTCTCTTAGGGAAGTCTCCCTCCAGCCAATCCCTGCTCCATGAGCCTTTCTGGCTTCAGTACCTCTGTTCCCTCCTACCCTAACACGGAGCCATCAGCCAACTTGGAGTTCCAGAACTTTCCAGTCTCCAGTCTCTAACACATCCATGCCCTTCCTTCCTCACCCTCTCCCTTTCTGCTAGGACCCTGCATAGGCATCCCCTCTTCTTGGGGATCCTCCCTCCCCTCAGAGGCACTACGAGGGCTCTTCTCTGGTCACAGTGCTTATTTGCTTTATGTCACTGTTATGGCTAGGTCCCCCCAAAGCATGTATGTATGCCACTGCCTACTGAATACCCACCGGGTTCAGGGCCTGGCACACCCTGAAGTAGCTTCAGTAGGTGGGAGACGGCATTGGGGAGACTCTGTGGGTTTCATAGAAAGAGCCCCCATTAGAATGTGGACACGGGTCCCTGCTTCATCCTTCCTTTCACCCTAAGATCAATCGGGTGGTCTTCATTAACCTTACAGGTCCCAACTTCCTTACCTGCAAATCATGGCGGCTGTAAAGACGTGGGGGTAAACTGCTTGTGTGTCCCAGAGTGGAGCCAGAGGGACATCTCCAGGGCTGCTGCAGCCCTATTCAGGGCTTTTGCTGATGCACTCTGGGAAGCTGTGGCCAAGGGACACAGTGAGCCACTGAGTCATGGTCTAGGTTCAGGTGGGGAAGTGTGCTGAGAAAATGGAGCCGCTACCCCCAGGCCCACAGACCTTGGAGGCGCTGGGAGGAAGCCTGCTGGGACTGTTTTCCAGGAAAGAGGCCTACGAGCATCACGGGCTGAGAAAAAGGCAAGGGTGACCCTGGCAGGCCGAGGTATTCTGGGGCCCCCTGAGTTCATGGAAACAGCCTTGAGCTCTGACAAGTTACCGGGGACATTTGTTAAGGCTAGCCAGATCCACTCCTCAGCCTGAGTGGGTCTGATGGGGCAACACTTGGGGACCGACAGTCTGCACAGAGCACTGTGCCAAGCCAAAGTTTTCAAGTGTGAGCAAGGGCTAATGGAGCTGAGACATGAACTGTACACGGGGCCTAGCTGCTCCCCTTACTCGCGATGTGGTTTGGGTGAGCCCTTACCTCTCTGTCCCACAGTCCTGCAGTGGGGCTTAACCAGTTAATATATGCAAAGTGCTTAAACTGGGCATGGTGGTGCATGCCTTTAATCCCAGCACTCGGGAGGCAGAGACAGGTGGATCTCTGTGAGTTCAAGGCCAGCCTGGTCTACAGAGCGAGATCCAGGCCAGAGAAGGCTACATAGGGAAACCCTGTCTCAAAGAAAAGTAAGCCAGAGAGATGTGTGGAAGGATCCTGGGTCTCAGTGCTCGCCTTCACCTGTGGGAGCTGATACCTGTGACCTGAAGCAAGTAACTCAACTTAGTGTCTTGTTTTCTCACTGGAGAGATGGGACTCCACAGCGTTCACTTCACCTCAGTGTTAGCAAGAAGAGTGAATGCACTGAACTAATGTGTGGAGAGCCTTCAAGTCTTAGAGCGCCAAGCGTGAAGTTCTGAGTTACGGCCCAGATCCGCCTGTCCCTTCGGCTTCCTCCCCTGCTCTTCTAGAGCAGCTGAAGTCTGGGCTCTGCTGACTGACTTGACGCCTGGATGTTTTTGCCTTTTTTTAAGCTTGCTTTATTTATTTATTTATTTATTTATTTATTTATTTATTTATTTATTTATTTATCCTGTGTGCGTGTGTGTGTGTGTGTGTGTGTGTGTGTGTGTGTGTGTGTGTGTGTGTGTGTGGTGTGCATGCACACACCACAGTATAGGTGCAGAGGTCACTCTCGGGAGCTGGCTCTTATCCTCAACCATGTGTGCTCTGGAGATGAAATGGTCTTCTTCAGACTGGGTAGCACTGACCCACTGGTCTCATTGTCTTACTCGACAACCTCCCTGGCCCTACCTGGGTTTGTTTTTAAAGAAATAACAGAAATAGTTACAGGTCAGAAAATTAAAATGAGTAAGTGAATGGAAAAACAGTCTAAGAACGTGTCTGGCATGCGGTGTATGTCAACAAATGTTCCTGCTGTCGTTTCCAACCCACAGCTCACAGCTCTGAGAGCTTCCTCAGTGAGCCACAGAACAAGCTAGAACCGGTCACAGGCTTACCCCCCCAATGTTTGCCTCTTATGCCTTGGATCCCTGTGACTGGATCCTTGTGTCCAGCCAGCCTGGCCCAGCTCCTGGGGGTGCTAGGAAGGGCCTCTTGGGGGTGGTTAGATAAACCAAGGTCACATGGTGGCTGAGGCAGCTGGAACCCAGGGGTCAGATCCCTGGGTCAACTAATTGACTTGCCAGAAGCGTGTGTGGGGCCAGCCAAAGGAGACCATGCAGCATGCTGGGTGTATTACTCATTTGCTTGTCTTGGTCCATAGTCATCTTCCTTTTGAAGCCCACGACACAGGGGGCATCTCTGACACTGTTCTGAGGTGCTATCCTGGTGCCATAAACCACCTTCCAGTTTGCCTTTGCCTTTCTGACGTCACTGGGTTTACCTCTGAGCCTCCTCACCCAGCCTGCTTCCCGACTCCCCACTCCCGAACACCATGTGTTCCTCAAGCTTCTGTGCAGTGCCATGTGCTGTTCCCTGTCCTGAGAGGCTGTTCCCTCTCCTGAGCCTGAGGAGTCTCTCCTGGAAGCACAGGTCCTCCCTCTGAACTCCTTGAGCACTTAGGCAAGTTGAGCTGTTCACTTGGACTGTCCTTGCCCCTAAGGTGTTCGAGAGGAAAATCCTTGTTTATTTCTGTGTGGTCTCCTTGTGTCCCTCAGGATCCCACTCAGGATCTTCTGTGTCCTGGGAAGCTTGCTTACCATTGCATCTGAGATGGAGGTGGGGAGAAGGGGCCTTGGCTCCCCTCCCCAGGTCCCCCTGGCCGGCTGTGTTCCCTGTGCACATGTCTCGGGTTGCAGATACACTTTAGGTTGATGCTATGAAGAAAACAAACAGGGTGCGGGGTGACAGGAAGGGACATCATCTTACATCAGTGATCAAGTGCCCCTGGAACAGAGAAGACCTGAGGGACAAGACCAAGGATACTTCCGTGGAATTATTCTACTGCAGGATTCGGGGCGATGGTCTTGGTCCTTGGAGAGCAGCAGAGATGTGGGGAGGCTAGGGCAGACTGACTGGCGAAGGGGATGTGGGGGGATGGAGGATGTGGGGGGAGATGGGGACATAGGACTTGCTTCCCTGTAAGGCCCTGTCCAACCCTGAGATTTGAGGACTCCTTGAGAAGCTCTTGCTCGGAGTCAGGGCCCATCAATCACCTGATCCTCATAATAACGGTGTGAGGGGGATGCTTCTATCCTCATTCCACACAAATGGGGCTCAGGGAGCTTAGACATCCACCCCGAGTCACACTGAGTCAGAGTAAAACTTGAAAGGGATGCACTATCTGACCTGCAGTCTAAAGGGTGTTTTCCCAAGACCAGCCTGTCTACTTGCCCAAGTACCCTCTCATCTGTGACATCCACTCAAAGTTCCTGCCTAGGCTAGACTCACAGTGGTCATGTGGGATGGGAGGTCCCACTTGCTGGACAGTGAACCTGCAGAGCTGTGCGGTGCCCATCCTGCCCGACTCTTCCAGGGCTGAGCTTGGTGGCTAATGGATCATTTCAGCCCTTTAAGTTCTAGGAGACACTGCCCTGTCCTAAAGACTGTCTTTTCCCATGGCTCACACAGACAATCAACGTGCTGGCTGCCTGGAGAGCCGGGAATGCCACGCCGAAGGCATGTCTGTGAAGACAGACATGCTCTCTCCTGCTCTGCCATCCAGGCTTTTCCCACTAGACACTGCCCTCACAGCTGAGGCGTGCTCTGGGGTCTGGGAGGCCCAGCTCGTGGCTCGTTCCCCCAGCTTAGGGAAGTATCTCTTCCTTTAGCCAACCCCAGTGTATCACAGCCATCTCCTTGAACATTTTTCCTCCCATACCCTCAGGTCCCTCAATGGTACAGTGAGGGAATTATACACGTCAGCAAGCGGTACACCACTCACCATCACAGAGGACAGCACCCCAGGGCTCCCTTCAAGAGTATCCAAGCTTGTGTCCAGACTTCCTGGGCAGGGAAACGGCTGGTTCCGTCTTTTTTCTTTTGCTGTTGTTGGTGGTGGTTGGTTTGTTGTTGTTGTTGTTTTGTTTTTATTGTTGTGTCAACTTGACACAAACTAGCGTCTTTTGGGAAGAGGTAACCTCAATTGAGAAAATGCCCTCAATGGACTGTCCTACAGACAAGTCTGTGTGACAGTCTCTTAATTAATGATTGATGTGTGAGGGACCAGCCCACTGTGGGCACTGATACCCCGGGCAGGTGGTCCTAGGTTGCCTAAGAAAGTAGGCTGAAAGCCAGGTGATGTTACACATCTTTTAATCCCAGTACTCAGGAAGCAGAGGCAGGCAGATCTCTTAAATTCGAGGCCAGCCTGGTCTACAGAGAGAGTTCCAGGACAGCCAGGGCTACACAGAGAAACAAACAAAAAAACAAACAAACACCAAAAACAAATGAAAGAGAAAGCAGGCTGAGTACACCAGAAAGAGAGCAAGCCAGAAAGCATCCATCCTCCACGGCCTCTGCTTCAGTTCCTGCCTCCACGTTCCTGCCCTGACTTTCCTTCCTGGTGGCCTATAAACTATAAGCTAAAATAACCCCTTTCCTGCCTGAGTGGCTTTTGGTCATGGTGTTTTACCACAGCGACAGGACAGAAACCGAGACCTAGGGGCTGTCACAACACATCAGGGCAAAGGCACTCAACTCAGAACTGAGGGAGGTCGGGGGAGCGAAAGGCTGAGTTCAGATACCCCAGGGTTGACCGAGGACTGCTCCACAGGAACACTTACGCCAACTGACTCCCCTAATTCATCGAATCACCACACCCTCCACAAGACAAGAGGTGTAGAGCTGTTTGCCCAGACCTCCACAGTTGACGAACTTGGACTGGAAGCCGGTTTGACTCTGAGTGTCCAGGCTACTCTTTCTCCTCCGCTTAATTCGCTTCACTTCAAGGGTTCTTGACTCTCTGCCGTTTCTTCAAGGTCCCAGCTGGTCTGCCTCTTCGTCCCCAGTTCTGCTTGGCCACCTAGACACAGCTCAAGGGCAAGACTCACACCTGCCTGTGTGCTGCTGTACGCTGCCTCACAGACACAGAGTCTGGGACCGAGGACATGCGCGATGGGGCGCCAAATGAACTGTGCTGTAATGGGGCTTCCATCTTCTTAACCCGGTCCCAGTGGTCAGCAGCTGGAGTTTGGAGACCCCAGTTATTACTGTGCAAGGACTCCTTGAGTGATCATTATGCAATATAAAGGTGAGCAGGGACAAACAGTAGAATATAAATGTATCGTTTGTTTATTTTTCATTAACAAGGTTGTTCCACTTCTTGCTATCAAGTAGAGCTCCGGAGAAGGGTGTGTTGATTTGCATACTAATCCTAGAGGCCCTCACAGGGAAGGGCAGGAAGTCCCCTTTGATCTGATGGAAGCACAGAAACATCATGTGGGTGGCCTGGAGCAGCTCTGAGAGACTGGAGCAGCTGAAAGACTGGAGCAACTCTAAGGGACTAGATTAGGAGAAGGTACAGAGGACTCCCGAGAGAGCTCGCCTGCTGAGCGAGGAAGAGCTGCCGGTAAGAACATCAGCGCAAGGGCGGAGACACATGGAACTTCAGTCAGTGTCTTGGCCAAAGATGACAAGACATTCAAACAAAAGTCCCAACGTAGAAGCAACACCTCCTCAGCTGCAGCCCCCGCTCTGAGCATGCTGTTCAGCCTGCCTGGTGTCTATAGGAATCGGGCCCAGGAGGCCATTGCCACCTCTATGGGCGAGCATCCACTAGGATGCACAGGACCACCAGTCTTCAGTAGTGACATGGTGTGGCAGGGGCTGAAACACTGGCCCGAGCCGGAGCTTTGGCTCTCTTCCCCCTTCACGGAGGCTGAGCTGGAGTTCTTTAGGCAGTCTTCACACCAGTCCATTCAGGAGGGAGGAAGGCCCGAACCCATACTAGACTTCCTACTAATGAAGGTCTGAGAAACTAAGAGGTGCTTTTATACGTACCCTGAGTTGCTGAAGAACAGAATGAGTCTGTTGTATTCACACTGCCACTGGTGACCCCCCAGCTATCCAAGCTCACAAGGTACACATACAGGAGCATGCTTTCCTGTGGCAGAACAGCCTTAAAATGATTAACATAACAGCAGTTATGACCGTCTCCAGAGCCCTTATCCACACAAACTCTTCTCAGAGCCCCGTGGCGAGCAGAGCAGAACACTGATCCCGAGAGAACGGGCTTGGAGAGGAACGTGATGCGCCCGTGGCCACCAGCGTGTCCACAAGCCCCACCCTGCCCTGCTGTGGGTCCCTCAGCTGCTCTCTTCCTGCTTACAGCAGCATCAGGACCACAATGGCAATGATCATAAGGACTCCAGCTAGGATGCAGAGGCCCAGGAAGACGATGTCACTGGTGTCCTGGGACACCACCGTCCCTGGGCCCTCCAGGACCTCTGCCTCATCCCCGGATGGTGCCTCCTGAAGGTGCTCAGCCGTGGCAGCGTAGGGCCCGAGCCAGTGAGAGCCTGACAGCAGGTGGGCAGATGCCTCCTTGCGCCTCGGCTCACAGAGCACCTCGTACTCGTGGATGTCCTCGTGCCCTGCAGCGGAGAAGTCGATGTACAGCACACTGACGATCACGGAGGTGTTATTTCTTCTCTGTGGGGGGGGTCACAGATACGTGTTCATGCCCACGGAGGCCCTGGCTCCCCTGGTTCCTCTAAACACACATAGGCCTGATCCCACAGCTTTGCCACAGATTCCTTGACACTCTGAGCCTCAGAGTCCTCATCTATCAAAAGGGCAGAAGGGCCAGCAAGTTGGCTCAGTGGGTAAAGGAGCTTGCCGCCAAGCCGGACAACTTGAATTCCATCGCTGAAACCCAAATAGTGGAGGGAGAAAACTAACTCCCATAAGTTGTCCTCTGATCAACACACACACACACACACACACACACACACACACACACACACACGTAATTTAAAATAATTATAGAAGCAGACAGTGTGAGCGTGGACTGTCTTGAAGGGCATCAGACTTGATGGGCCGATGTTTGCTCTGGTTTCAAGGGGCTGAAAGGGGATGAAAGTGAGAATACCACAGCTGGGAGGTGTAGCTTAGGGGCAGAGCACTGGACTAGTGAGTGTGTGAGGCTCCAGGTTCAACACCCAGTACCAGCAAAAAAAGCAAAACAAACAAACAAAACAAAACAAAACCACCCCAAAACCAGCAACCATGGAGTTGAGATTGTACTGGCAATACTTAAGCCAGGTGTGGTAGTGCATGCCTGTAATCCCAGCACTTTGGAGGGAGAAGAGAACCCAGAGTTCAAAGTCATTTTTAATTACATAGTAAGTCAGCCTAGACTACCTGAGACCCTGCCTCAAAAAGCCAAACAATAACAACAACAACAAAAACTACATAACATCTGGGGCCATTTAGGATCCAGTTAAGTATATCAATTCATTTAATTCTCACAATAATCTTCTTGGTGTCATTAATATTTCCATTTCACAGATAAAGAAACTGGGGCCTAGAGGTTAAATCTGTTGTCTGGGACCACACAGCATACAAGCAACCGAGGCCACACATATGTCAACTCCACAGCAGACATTGCATTCCTCAGACTGCCCAAACTGCCCCAGCCAGGGCTGCCACTTCTGAGAAGGGTGTCTAAAATGTGCAGCTGCCTAAATTTGGAGGGAATAAATAGGTGTAAGCAGTTGGGTCCTCCCATCATCCAAGATTGAGTGGCACGCCCCCCTTGGGAAGGTTTGAAGGAGTGTCATGTCTGTTTCACAGACTAAGGGACTTCAGGCCTCTCCCAAGTTTGGGCTTCTGAAAGGCCCTGGATCCCACAGTCCCAAATAAGCCTCTACACCTGTGGGCTGGGTCAGCCTGCTCCTCACTCTCTAAGGGGAACTTGTAGCCTTGCTTTTGGACACACAGCCTCAGGACATGGGACAAAGCAAGGCAGGAGCTGAGAGGGGAGGGGACTGAGAGAGGGTGGTCATCTATGTAGTGAGAAATGGAGAGAAAGCATGTGGTAGAGGCAGGAAGCATGGGGGCTTGGAGAGAGGAAAAGCCCCGTGGAGAGAGGGAAAGCCCAATGAGACTAGAAGGCTGAGGATTAGGAGGCGAAGCCCAGTGTTTCCAGAGAGGCACAGAAGGGCTGGCCTTGATGCTGCTATTGCTCCTGGTCACTCACACCTCGGTGACAGCAGCTCCTTGCAGAGGCTGGGCCTGGGGCTGAGGATTTGCAAGGCTTGTATTAACTGCTCAGCCTTTACCCTTCCAAGCCTGATTCTATGGTCTATGGCCCTACATTTGGGGCAGGGTGGAGTGCTGAAACTGAGTATTCATGAGTTCTTGGCTCTAGGACTTCATGATTTCATTTGTGGGACTCTTTGAGGGTGAAGGTGGGCATGTGTTCATGTGTGTGTGAGCATGTACATGTGTGTTTGGAGGCCACAGGTCAACTCTAGATATACTCCCCAAGAGCTGCCCACCTTGTTTTCTGAGGCAAGGTCTCTCACTGGGTGGGACCTGGAGCTCGAAGATTAGGTTAGATTGGCTGGCCAGTGAGCTCCACAGATAAGCCCGTCTCTACCTCCCCAGCATACACCACCACCATGCCTAGATTATGTAGCTCTGGCTGGTCTGGCCTGGAATTCACTATGTAAAGCAGTCTGGCTTCAGAATCAAAGATCCACCTGCCTCTAACTCCCAAATACTGGGATTAAAGTATATGCCAGGCCGGAGAGATGTCTCAGTGATTAAGAGCATGGGCTGCTCTTCCAGAGGTCCTGAGTTCAATTCCCAGCAACCACAAGGTGGTTCACAACTATCTATAATGGGATCTGATGCCCTCCTCTGGCCTGCAGGCATGCATGCAGACAGAGCCTCATACCTAACAAATATGTATACACCTAAATAAAGGTGTGCCACCACATTCATCCTTTAGGGTCTTGTGTTTTTTAATAAACATGTCCTCATGCTTGCATGGCTGGCACATTACTGACTGAGCCCTCTCCCCAGCCTTCTGGAACGTTGTCTCCTCCATTCCATGACACCGAATGTGGTTCTGTCCCAAGAAAATCCCTAGGGGCCTCAAGGCATGGAGCAGAGGTGAGGACAGACTATCTTGGCAGCCAGATGCCCCTCAGTGGCTGCCTGGAAGCTGAGAAGGTACAATGAAGGACTCCAGGGGCCAGAAGCAAGCGGCAGAGGGCACGGGCATCGGGCCAAACCAGACTGCAAACCCCCGCGTTTCCGAGCTGGGGACTCTAACAGGGGCAGACCACCATTCCTTCCCTCTCCAGTCCCTTCCTAGGGACTCAATGCAGGGTGCTGGGGCACTGCCCAGGGATTCTCTCAGGCCCCACCCACCCACCCAGCCCGGCCTGGGTCCACAGCCTCCAGCATCCAAGTATAGGAGAAAATTTTCATTTGTAAGCACAGTCTTTGGAGGGAGGTGGGTCCTTCTTTGAAAGCTCATTTGTTTGTGGAGCCCAGAGATGTATTGGGGTCACCAGGTTGGGGAGGGTGAGCAGGAGGAGAGTAGGGGGGGGGGTGGCTGTACATATTAAAGGAATCAGGGTTTCCCCTGGAGAGCTCTCAAGGGAGGAACAGGGAGGAAATTTAGGGCTAGTCACCATTGGGGTCTTTTGAAAGAGTGACAGTAAGCTTGCATCCAGACCTGAGTGCACCACCAGAACCAGGAGAGAAACTGAGGGTAGCAGGCACCCTTCAGTAAGGCTCAGAGCCCATCTCTTATGCCTCCCCTCCCCTCCCCCTACCTGAGACTCTGTACCGCAGGTGTCAAAGCGGGCTTGGATCCGGAAGTTGCTACCAACTTCCTGGGCTGCACAGCTCCGGCTGCCCAGGTAGACCCTTGTCCGCTCCAGTGGGGCCAGTGCCTGGGCAGAGATCAGGATCTGGAAGTCCGTGCGGGAACAGCTCACATTCATGGGTACCACTGGAAGAGGAGGGAGGAGCCTGAGACCTTAGGGCTGCAGTCACACCCATCATCCCTAAGCCTTCCTGAAGGACAGCAGCCATGGAACAGAAGAAGCCCAAGGGAGAGAAGGTACTTAGGACATCCTACAGGACTGAGTTGGGATATTTACATGCAGTGCTCCACTGCGCCACTGGGTCTGTGAGTTCTGAGGGCACGTGGTGTGCCGGTGTCTCCGAGTCCTCTGAGGCCGGCATAGAGCTTGGCAGACCAAGGAAATGCTGAATGAATGAATGAATGAATGAATGAATGAATGAATGAGCTTGCGAGTGAGTGGAGACTAATTCTTCACCACATTAAAAGCAATTGCTCATCACAGCCAGATACCCAGCAGTCCATCCCATCATTCAGTTAATGCATCACTGACGGCCTCCTCTACAGCACAGTACACACAGACACTCCACTGCTTGTGCAGGACAGTGGATGTGGGAGGTACACAGGAGTGCTACGCAGGACAATCAAGCAAAGATAGAGGAGGGGTGTGGCTCTGAAGAAGATCGGGGAGGGGAACCTTGTTGTCCCACCCTGTGATGGCCCGAGATGTTGGGCATACTTCAAACCAGTTGAGTTTTGGAAACAAATCTCTGAGAGGCGAAGCTGCATGTTGTGGCTGACTTGGGATCTCAGACTTGGGGGGACAGGATTCCCTAGTTAACAGTCTGTCCATTACTATCTGCCAGCTCCCAGCATGCTCTGGGCTGTGAGAGAGTGTGATTCTCAGGGTCTGGGACTTCAGGGGCAAGGGTGCATGTAGGGGTGTGTGCAGGGAAGAGGCAGGTGGGGGTTGGTAGCTAGCTGGAAGAAAAAGGAGACCCGGCAGGCAGAGGCCTGGATCCCTCAGCCCTCTCTGGGAAATGTCTCAGGCATATTTCAACCTCGGGTGTCTGGACAGGCGGGGATTTATGGGTCCGCTGTCTCCCACGATGATCTCGGTGGCGCTGAACTGTGTGTCACCCCTGATTGATGCCGAGGCTGCCCTCCCTGTGGAGAGGCTGCCTACTGCCTGGGCCCCATCTGGTGCTGGTCCAGTGTTGAGTACCCTGTCTGACCCTAGGCTCCCACAGGGACCTGTGTGGGGAGCACAGAAGGCCCTGAACAGGAGCCAGGATGACAGCCGCCCTCCCCTCCCACCTCTCCAGAGATACTGCAGGAAGAGGCAGTCTAGATCACTCAGCCCCGCCCAGCCAGGCTCTCAGAGGCAAGCAGGAACCTCAAGACCCTTCAATCCAGGTCCCTGCTGTACAGGTGGGACAACCAGGATCTGGGGGCCAGGTCACGGGACCAAACCTGGGTGGTACCTGGTCTCACAGTATTCTCCTTGTCCATGATGAATCAAAGGAGACAGTGCCAAGGGTCACAGCTGCCCTTCCCACGGGGACGGGCCCTGTCTAGGCCCAGAAGGGAAGGGTGGCTTTGTGCAAGTCTCTATGTGCCACCAGCTTGCAGCAGCTGTTTCCTGCCCCACTGCCAGCCCCCCCACCCCCCAGCTCCTCTGCTGCTGGGGATGAGGAAAGAGGATCCTCTCACTGCTGAACAGGCCTGGGCATGTGAGGGAAAGATGTCCTCAGAGCCAGACATACCCTGCAGCCCTCACTCTGCACCTGGCTCGGGGACTCACGGTCCTGTACGACTGATCCACGGTACAGAAGTTGGAAAAGCCTCCACACCGGCTTCCCCAGACACCTCTGCAGCAAAAGCATGGCCACGTGACTGATTTGAAACCGAAGTGACCAAGACAAAGCATTGAGAGAGCTTTGAAAACGCTTTGGCAAGTCAGGCAGTGGTGGTGCACGTCTTTAATCCCAGCACTCAGGAGGCAGAGGCAGGCAGATCTCTGTGAGTTTGAGGCCAGCCTGCTTTACAGAGTGAGTTCCAGGACAGCCAGAGCTACACAAAGAAACCCTGTTTTGAAAACTGTCCCCCGCCCCCAAATACTTTGGCTTTCTGGATAATGGGATTTTTGTGGCTGGCACTTTTCCTCTTCTAGCCTTGAATGTGGACACGATATCCGAGTTTTGGGGCAGTCATGTTGCAAACACAAGTCTGAGTATCTCAGAGGTACCATCAGGACATTCTGAGGACTCCCACAGTAGTTGCTGGCTAGCACAAGGCAGGGTGAGGACATGCACGTGCCTTCTGTCGAGTCAGCAGTTCTGAATGACACAGGCAGGGCTGGTGGCATCTCAGTGGCATTTCACCTAACACTTGCCATTGATAACTTGACATTTTGTGCATTAATCCCAGAAACCGGATCAAACATCTGAGAGACATCGAACCCACAAGAAAAGGAGCCAGGTGGGAAAGAATTAGGACTCTGGAGTCAGAAGCCATGAAAGGAAAGTCCTATGGCAGTGGAAATAAGTGAGGGCCACATCACAGTAGCTTCAAAGGTCCTCAGAGCAGGCCACTTCGTAGGGCCTGGAGGACACCATAGAGGGGTGTGTCACAGTGAACAGGAAGAAGGCCACGGAGTTCCCCAGGACCCACACTCTCAACTCAACTGACCTCCAATGTAGGCCACAGAGAAGCCCCTGCCGGAGGTGCTGCGGTCAGTGTGCAGCAGCAGCAGGAGCTGGTTGTGACGTGAGGTGACGGGCGGTGGCAGGCGATGACCACACCACTTCCCCAGGAGCTGTGCCTCCTCACTGGCCCCATCAAAGGCCGCCAGGTGGTCAAAGTCACAGGTTCTGGTCAGGCTGCTGGGCTCCTCCAAGCCCAGGTCCAGGATAAAGACCTTGACCCGGTAGCCGGGGGGCAGGCGGATGGTCCAGTGGCACCGGATGTTGTTGGGGTAGGAGGCAGGGTACTGTGGGCTGGAGAAGTTTCCACGCACAGCCGTGAATACCTCCTGGCATTCTCCTGGGGAGGAGGAAGAAAGAGTCACACACAGTCAATGACAAATAACTAGAGTCTGAGTCTGCAGCCTGAGGTGGGCGCCACTGGGAGGCGGCAGAACCTTCAGGAGGTGGGTGGGGCCCACCGGAAGAAGGTTGGCTCACTGTGAGGAGGCCCTCAAAATGGGCGCTGGGCCCCGGTCCCCTCCTTTTTCTGGCTCTGCTTCCTGGCTGTCATGAGGAAGCAGCTCTTGTCCCACTCTTTGCTCCCTGCCGTGATGTCCTGCCTCACCACGGGTCCAAAGACCACAGCCAACAGTTCTTGGACCTCTGAAAGTGTGGGGTACGGTGCTCACATATTGGTGCTCACATATCTGTGCCCACATACCCATGTCTATCTCAGGTACAGAAAGCTAACATTCTGTCAACATACCAGCCCTGTGCTCGGTACTGCCAGCCACCAGCCCCTGCGCCTCTGCACATACTGTCCATGCCCCTGGGCGGACTTCGTCAAGGCTCTGCTCAATTCCTCCTCCAGGAAGTCCCCTGTGATTCGACCTGTTAGCACTCTTGACAGTGGCTCATCACTGTGGACTATGGGTTCTCGGAAGCACATCCATCCTTCCTTTTGTGCACACATTACGTGAGCGTGTAGCACATGCCAGGCACAGGTACAAGGAGCAGCTAGCTCACCCTCAGGCAGGGAAATGGACAAAATAGAGAGGAGGTGGATAAGAGTATGAAGGAATTCTCTATGGCAGTGGTCCTCAACCTTCCTAATGCTGTGACCCTTTAATATAGTCCCTCATGTTGTAGTGACCTTCAACCATAAAATAATTTTCATTGCTACTTCATACCTGTAATTTTGCTACTGTTATGAATCATAGTGTAAACAACTGATATGTAGGATATCTGATGTGTGACCCGCGTGAAAGGGTTGTTCAACCCCAGTGGGGTCCGGACCCACACGTTGAGAACCCCCGCTCTAAGGAGTTTAGAAGGGATTGATCCCATCTGAGCAAGGCAGAAAGTCTTACAGGGGATGTGATAGGGTTAGGCCTTGGTGTTGGCCCAGAAGGGTGTACTAGACCCTTCTAGACAGGGCAGAAAATCCAACCCCCAAAGACACAGCAAGCCTTAACTGAATTCCCAAACAAAGCAGTAGACAGAGGTCCGCGGGCACAGGTGTTGGCATGGGCGTGGCCCCTCCTACCTGAGAAGTAGTGGGCCTTGAAGCCCCGGCCTCCAATGTTGAAGTCAGACTTGAAGATCACCTGCAACTCATGGCCCAGGGACACAAGGGTGGGGGGTCTGGTGCGGCCACAGTAGTGGTGCCCGTGGGCAGGGCCGGGGGCTCCAAGCACAGCCACATAGTCGTACATGCATTCATGGCTGCCCTCCACCTGGAAGTCCACGAACACCAGCTTGACGGCAGCAGGCCCAGAGGCACGGATCAGCCAGTGGCACTCCACGTTGTTGGGATAGTTGTTGGGGTACTCGGGGCTGCTGAGGACCCCTGACAGGCCAGTCAGGACACCGCCGCACACGTCTGCAAGGGAGTCCATTTGAGCTGACCTCTTCTCTGGGGAGCCAGACACCCAAAACGCTGCTCCACAAACACCCACGCCTGACAGGCACAGATCTGTACCCTGACCCAGATGGCATCCATCTTCTATAGGGAGAGGTCAAGGAACTTAATCTGTCTAGGCCTGAGTTCACCCAGGTATAAAGACCCGAGTGCAAGGGGTTTATTTGAAGGCCAAGGATCTCCAGGTGGACATAAGGGGGTGAGATGAGATGGCAAAGTGTCCTAAAGGGAGCTGCTGAACCCCACTAGGGAATTCTAGTAAAGCATACACCTGAGTCATGTCACTCCAGGAGCGAGGGGACTAGGGAGTTCTATACTATGTGGTGGTTGGAAGGAGAATACCCTCAGCAGGCTCATATATATATATTTGGTTTTTCAAGACAGGGTTTCTCTATGTAGCTTTGCGCCTTTCCTGGATCTCGCTCTGTAGACCAGGCTGGCCTCGAACTCACAAAGATCCGCCTGCCTCTGCCTCCCGAGTGCTGGGATTAAAGGCGTGAGTCACCACCGCCCAGCTTAGGCTCATATATTTGAATGCTTTGTTCCCAGTTGGTGGAACTGTTGGGAAGGATTCAGAGGTGTGGCCTCGTTGGAAGAGAAGTGTCATTTGGGGCGGGCTTTGAGATTTCAAAAGCCTGTGCCATTCCCAGTTAGCTAACTCTGCCTTAAACCGGTCCACCAGAGGCGAGCTCTCAGCTGCTGCTCCGGCGCCATGTGTATCTGCCTGCTGCCATGCCCCCCACCATGACGGCCATGGACTCTCACCCTCCGCAATGGTGAGCCCTAAATAAACAGTTTCTTTTATAAGTCATCGTTGTGGTCATGGTGTTTTGTCACAGCAACAGAAAAGTGTCCAGGAAAACTGGAGAGAGTCTCAAGGGGGAGACCACAGACACCAACGAAGTCCTCAAACAGAGACAGGAAGACCGTCAGGACAACACCAAAATGACAGAGGCCAAGAGGTATGGGCAGGTCACCCAGCCAGCAAGCAGAACTGGAGCCCAGAAGATTAGGGGCAGCTACATGGCCAGGGCATGGCAGTGGGCAGCTAAGGGCTGGCTTCCCGTCCCGGGACTCCTCAGCTGTGTGATCTTAGGCAATCACACTCCCTCTCTGGCCATCGGATTTACTGAGAAATGAGACAGTAAGTGGAGATAGTCTGTGATAGCCCATCAATTAATATCAACAACCTAGCAGAAAGATGCTTCAGACTTCATCCTTATGCTGCATTTCCAACGTGCCCAGGTGTGGTGTATGTGTGTTGACATAAGTGTGGACATTCATGCCGATGCGGGTATGTTATGTTTGGAGGTCAGAGGAGGACATCAGATGCCCTGCTCCATCACTCTCTGCTCTGTCTCTCTGAGACAGTGTCTCTCTCTGAATCTGAAGCTTGCTAATTTTCAGCTAGGTTAGACAGATGACCAACAAGCCCCCCTCCAGGGGCATGGGTACACACGGCCATGCCTGGCATCTCATGTGGATGCTGGGGGCCCAAAAGCCTCTCACTCACACAGCAATCTCCCCAGCACAGTTATCTTTTAGTATAATAAAAAACAGGACCCAAAGTTACATATCTTCTACATAATTTAGCCAGTGGAGTCCATCAATATCCACTGTTTGTCAGTGACTGGCTTCTCACAAGTCATTGCTGGAAATGTGAACTTGGGGCCAGGGCAATAGCTCGGCCATTAAAGCATTTGCTGAGCAAGCATAAGGACCAAATTTTATCCCCAGCATTCCCATAGAAGTTGAACATGGTAGCTCACACTTGTAATCTTAGGGCAGGGGAGGTGGAGGCAACAGCCACTCTTACTTAATTGGAGAGCACCAGGTCTCAGTGAGGTGGCTCCTGAGGTTGACTTCTGGTTTACACACACGCACCCATGCACACACACATGCATGCAAACACATGCATACACACACGAATGTGAACTTGTGAAATGAATGCATATCATTAAAATGCTACCTTTATCTTTTTAGATATCAAAGACTAACAAGACAGCACTGCCTGCCATCAGCTATTCCAGTTTGTAAAAATGATGGAAAGCGTTGCCTGTGACGTCAGGACTTGGACGCCTTAATGTCCTAAACTCCCAGGCTTAGATCTCCACGTGCTAATCACATCAGCCTCTTGTTCTTGTGTCTTAACCGCACAGTTCTGTGCTTCTAAATTCAGCAGGGGCCACCGTCCTGCCTGAGTCCTGCGGTGGCTGGGAGTGGACTTGTGGACATGGGCATCTGTGGCTGTCCTGCCTGGGCTGACACAGAGGCATCTGATCTCATCCTGGGGAGAAAGGAGGGCTTTTGGGTCTGTACACAGGAGCTCAAAGACAGGAGGGAGGAGGGAGGTGAAGAGCAGAGCTGGGGCTCCACCTCATGAGGCTGGGTGGCAGGTGACAGCCTGCTTGGAGGCCTCAGGATTAGGGAAGACTGGTAAAGAATGCACACAGGGAAAGGCCTAAGAGAGGAGGAACCACAGGTTCTAAAAGCTCCTGCCTCTGACACCCTGGGCCCAGGCAGGGGAAGGAGGCAGGAGCCACAGGACTTCAACAGGCGGAACAGCCGGGATCCTCCTGTGGCCTGATGTTGGCAGAGGAGGGCGCAGACCTCCTCTCAGGGAACAGCAAGCTGCCCGGGGGAGCCAGCAGTCACGGAGGAAGCAGAGAAGTATCACAGAGGTAGCAGCAGGTAGTGGTTCCCAGGGAGGTCACAAGTGTGAAGATGCCACCTCTGCCCCTGTAGGCGGTGCCGTGCCAAGACACTGCCTACTCACCTCCCCGTGCCCTGTCCCCCCACCTCCTGCAGCCCTTCTGCCGAGTGCCCCCTGACCTTTCTGGTAGCCTGCAGAAAAGCCGCGGCTGGCCACGTGCTTGTCCGAGTGGAAGACGACAGACATGACGTGCCAGGAGGAGGTGAAGGGTGGTGGGGGCACCTGGCCGCAGAACCTGCCCAGAAGATTGCCTTTGTCTCCAGAGGCCCCGTTGTAGATCTCTAGGAAGTCGAAGCCACAGGTGTCATGGTACTCCAGGTCAAAGGCGTGGAAGGTGAGTAGCACGGAGGACCCCTCGGCCACCACGATCAGCCAGCTGCACTCGGTGTTGTAGGGATACAGACTTGGGAAGTTTGGGCTGGAGAAATTCCCAGATGGTGCGGAGAGCACACCCCCACACTTGACACCTGAGGCAGGAGAAAAGGGTGGTGGAGAGTCAGCTCTGGGGTCTTGACTACACAAGGCAAGTCTGGGGCCTTGAGGGTGCAGAGAAAACAGGACAGAGTCCTAAATTACTCATGTGCGCCTGAGCTCTCTCAAGCATTCACACTTCTTTCAGAGACTGGGGAAGCATTCTTCTAGCCACTCAATAAATGTTGTTTGAGCACTGGCCAGTGCTCTTAGATGCCAGGAGGATTGCAGGAATAAAGATCTTGCTCTCAGGGCATGCGTGTTCTGGCGGGAAGACAATAAACACAAACCAACCGTGGAGCAGACAGGGGAGTGGTCAGCTCTGAGGAGAACAAGAAGGCAAGCGAGGCCAGGCATGGTGGCACACACCTTTAACCCCAGCATTAGGAGAGAAGAGGCAATCGGATCTCTTCGAGCTCAAGAACAGCCTGGTCTACATAGTGAGTTCCAGGCCAGCCAGGGCTACGCAGAGAGACCCTGTCTCAAAAATAAATAAACATTAGATAAATTGAGCCAGGCGATGGTGGTGCACACCTTTAATCCCAGCATTTAGGAGGCAGAGGCAGGAGGACCTCTGTGAGTTTGAGGCCCGCCTGGTCTACAAAGCGAGTTTCAAGACATCCAGGACTACACAGAGAAACTCTGTCCTGAAAAACCAAAACCAACCAACCAAACAAACAAACAAACTAAAAAGGTAAATGAATAGAAAATAATGAATAATTTAAAAGGAAACAATGAAATTATAAAACTAGAATTTGGCAACCTTTAATGTCTGTTCAGTCACCAAGGAAAAGGATGGTAAGAGGGAAAACCCAGGTTGGCCACACAGGTATTCTCTGTGAAGCTCACTCAACGTTGCTAAGCTTTTAGAAACAAACAAACAAACAAAATGGTAAGAGTAGCTTCAGACCGGCCTCAAACTTGTAACCCTGTTGCCTCAGGCTCTCAAATGCTGAGATAACAGATGTGAGCCAGTACGTCTGGTTCAAATGTTTGAAAAACAGAAAAAGACACAACCTAGTATCACACCTATACTATAGCACACACCTATAAGGGAGGTGCTCTGGGGGCTGAGGCAAGAGGATTGTAAGTTTTAGGCAAGACCATGATTCAAAGTAATAATAACAACCACCACCACTAGAGCAGCAGCAACAGGGTTGACAGAGGCAGGAGAGAGACCAGGAGGTGGGTGTGGAGGAATCAGGATGCACGATACATGTGTATGAAAATGCTAAGGAACAAAGTTAATAAATAAGAACAAGCCAAGAGGGAACTGTATATAGTAGGATGCTATGCAACTTGAAATGCATACACACCATTACTCAGCAAGTCTACTTCTTTTTGTTTTTTAAGGTAAGGGCTTAGCTATATAGCCCAGGCTAACCTTGAATTGCAAATTTCTTGCCTCAGCCTTCCAGGTGCTAGGATGAAAAGAGTGTGTGTGTGTGTGTGTGTGTGTGTGTGTGTGTGTGTGTGTGTGTGTGTGTACTCCTGGACTCAGGCGATCCTTCTGCCCAGCCTCCCCAGTGTCTAGGACTATACTCACTAGTAGACCCGTAGACAAGTAAACTTACTTGGATCCTCTTGCATTGGCTCCTGAGTTTAGGACTGCAAGCACGTACCACTGCACATAGCTAAAGGAATGTTTGGGGGCAGGGGGTTTCTGTGCACATGTGTGCACGTGGAGGCCAGAGCTTCACTTCAGATGTCCCTCAGATGCTATCCATCTTGTGTTTTGAGACAAGTGTTCTTATTGGTCTGGGGCTCACCAAGTAGGGTAGGCTGCCTGGCCGGTGGCCCAGGGATCTGCTTGTTCCCACGTTCCCAGCCCTGGGATGACGAACATGTGGCATTATTCCATAGCTTCTGGATCTTGAGCTCACTCAGGTCCTCTTGCTGGCATGGCAAGAACTTGACCAACTGAGCTATTGCTCCAGCTTATAGAAGAACAATCTTTCATGAAATAAAAAAGTTAATTTTGAGGCTGCAGAGACGGCTCAGTGATGAAGAGCATTTGCTGCTCTTGCAGAGGCCCTCAGTTTGATTCCCAGCACCCACATGGCAGCTTACGACTGTAACTCCAGTTCCAGGGGCCTCTGATGTCCTCTTCTGGCCTCCACAGGCCTGCAAGGGGTGCACAGACATACATGCGGGCAAAATACTCACACACATAAAATAAAAACAAGTAAATCTTCAAAATACAGACTTTTATTTATGACTCTATGTTTGCACATGTGTGTGCATCATGAGGATGGAAAATGCCACAGCACGCATGTAGGAACTCAGGACAGCTTTACAGGGGTCAAACTCAGGTCACCAGACTCTTGAGACAAATGTTTTCACCTGTTGAGCCACCTCACTGGCCCGACAGAGGAATATTCTTTTTTTTAGATTTATTTTGGTTTTAAATTACGTGCGTTCATGTGTGTCCGTATGGGAGTATGTGATGCGCGCAGGTGCCCATGGAGGCCAGAGGTGTCAGATCCCCTGGGACTGCAGTAACAAGTTGTGAGCCATCTGATGCCATGGGTGCTGGGAACAGAACTGGACTCCCCTGGAAGAGCAGCCGGTGCTCTGAAGTGCTGAGCCTTCTTGCCAGCCCCAGAAACATTCTTAATCAAACCACGAGGCTCCTCCATTTGGCCAAGCCCAGGATGGAGAACTTCATCCTCCCACTACTTCAACAATAAATGGTGAGGGGGCACAACTGGATTAGGAATCAAACATAATGCATGGCTTTCTCAGGTTTTTATTTGTGTTATTGACTTCATTTTGCAGATGAGAAGACTAAGCCCCGGAAGGGGAAATCACCGTAGTGGACATCTTTTGCTCAGCACCCTCTCTTCTAACTTGTGGGACCCCAGGCTGCCTGTTTCTGACACTGCCTTGGCTCCTTGTGGTCATTCTGACCTGTGGGGAGGGTAAGTGTTTCAGGCCAGGATCAAGCTCTTCTCAGAATGTCTGGGGGTGTGTGTCTCTTCCTCATTGGTCCCTGAGCTAGGAATGGGAGCCCTGGGGGTCCACGTTCAGGACTATGGAAACATGTCCACAGATAGCAAGAGCCACGTGGGAAAAAAATGGCCCTGGGCCAAGAGGCCCTGGCTGCTGGCAGGCTCAGCTCCATCCCTGCCACCCTGTTGTGGAGCCCAAGAAGCCTTTTTGCCTGAGTGTATACAGCTTAGGTCCTGTCACTTGCAGCCACAGGAACCCTCAAGGACACACTTGAATGAAGTCCCCAGGAGAAGGACATACTAAGCCAGAGGTCTGTGTTGATTTGGACTGAGCCTCCCCCGCAGGGGAGCTCACAGAAGAGGTGGCACTAGGAGAGTTAGGCAAGCCAGGTGAAGCCACACTGTGTGACATGCTGCATCCTGCATCGCATGGGCTTATGGGATAGCAGTATTAGGGGAGGGATGAGGCCCACACAGGTGATATGAGCGGAGTGGGAAAGCAGATTACATTGACTCCATCACTCAGCCTCTGTGGACCTCAGCCATGCACCTGTGAAATGGGTGCTACCCTCGTCCTTACTCACTGCTCCAGGTGCTGGGGAGACAGGCATTGAGGGGCCATGCAGGGGACAGGTCACATGATTTGTCCCTGCCTGGGCAGGCTGGTATGGCAAGAAGATGGAAGGACCTTTCTTCCAGTGTCCACTCTTGTCCTTCTCCCAGGGTTGACTATAGGACAGGAAAAACCACACAACTGTCAGAGTGGAACTCCTGTGGCCTCGGTGGCCCTGAGCACCAGCACAAATGGAAGTCTTGCCCATCAGGATCCAACCAGGCACACTAACCCTCAGTTAGTCATGCCGAGGGCATCCAAGCCCTCGAGGTTAGTAAACAGCAACACACGTGTCCTATTCCCCAGGCATGGCTGAGACCCTGAGGTGCTCACCCCATTTCTGCCAGCATTGGGGTGACCGGCAAGCCACCTCTTCCCTCTTGGCCCCTAGTGGAGCTTGAGGAAGACAAGTTATAGGGGGCTGCTTGCTGAGCCCCAGCCCCCAGCAAATGCACCCACTGCCGAATAGTGAATGATTCCACAAGCTTCTCACACAACACCTGGAGGAGCAGACTGACACAAATCACAGACTCACAGCCTGGGCTGGAGGAGCTCTGGGAACCTGGGGAGGGAGCATCTGAGCCCAACAGAGGATGAGGAGGGCTCCGTGGAGGAAGTGACGTGACTTAAGGGTGAACACAAGAGGACTGTCTAGATGGTTCAGGATAAACGCTCTGGCCACCAGGCCTGGCCACCTGAACTTGATCCCCACACACATGGTGGAAGGAAGGAGAGAACCAACTCCCCCAGCTTGTCCTCTGACCTCTACACGTGTGATGCAGCACACCCATGTGCACTCACCCCCTACACACACAATACATGTCATTGAGAAAAGTATTTCAAAGAGAAACAGGATCCTTCTAAGAGATTATTCCAGGAAGAACTTCTTCCCAGGCATGGGGACAGTGGGACGTAAGATCCCCCGGGGAAGGCATTCTCAGAAGGAGTGTGGTTCCCAGCAAGAACACAGAGCTAGCCCACCAGGGACACCGAATGGCACAGTGAGGAATCTGGCACCACTGGCTGCGCTGGGAAGTGTGGCAGGCTCCCGGAACAGAGGGACCTTCCCACCGGGAGCCTTCCACACTTCTGAGCCATTCCCTTCCCCCACAGCAACTGGGTGGCCCTGTGCCTGCCCCTGAGCCCTGAGTTTCTTCATCTGGAACAAAGGGCCAGTCCTCACCTAGGACTTTGTTCTGAAGATGAAATGTTCTTATGCATGTGAAGCAAACAGCAGGCGCTCACTCAATGCTGTCCTTCACTTCTCAGGAGCAAGCACACACTCCACTTCCTGGCTGGGGCTTCTTGCGGCCCTGGGTCCTCCGCACTCCCCTCCCATCCTCTCGGTTGCGGGTTGCTGGATCACCTACCTTCTGTGGCTTGGGTCCCAGGACCTGAGTCCAGCAGTACCATGGCCAGCAATAAGCAAGCCCCCAGCTCAGCCAGCATCTCCTCACTGGGGGTCCCCCACCAAGGCGGAGTTCAGGGGTCAGGATCCAAGGGTCTGAGAGGGGAAAGAGAGGTGAGGTTGGAAGGACCTCCAAGTCAATGGTGGTGTGAATAATTCATCGGGCCCTTGAATTAGTAAGCCGATCCCAGGTGCTTCCTTCACTCCTCACTGAGGTGACGGATCTGGTGTCACCAGGTTGACACGTACTGAGAGCTGCAATGGCCACCCTGCATCAGGAAGGAGACAGGGTAGTGGACAAAGGGCCTAAATTCCAGGGCCAGGCAGATCTGGGATCCATCCCAGCTCAACCTCCAGCCAGTCAGGTGTTTTAAACAAGCCACTGCACTCCTGTGGGGCTTGGTCTTCTGAGCAACCGGCACAGCCCTTCAGCCCGGCCTCTGGGGCTACTGAGAAAAAAGGAATGAGATCACATGTGCTACTGTATGCAGAAAGCACTCAGAACATGCTGAAGCACATGGCAGGTGCATGCTCCTGTCTTTTTCCACCCTCCACTGCACGGGGAGCCGAAAGGAGTCTAATGTTTGTGGGACAGATGGGACACGCTTCCGATGTGAAAATTCGGCTCAGAGGGAGGGAGAAGGAGCTGGTGGGCAGCTGATGAGCTGATGAGCTGATGAGTCTTTCTCAAGGAAGAATGCATCCGGAGTAGCAGAATTAGCACTTCGGATTTCTGCTGTGAGTTCTTCTAATGCAACAGCCACCGGCCACGGTCTGTAGTGTGACCAGAACAGTGCGTGTGCCTTCGCTCATCCACTAGGCCTCATTGCCACATCGCTGGACCCAGGCCCCAAGCTGGGAGCTGAGCCTGCAGAAGCGCCCCGAAGAGTCCTGTGTCCAGCAGAAAATGGGACTGTTTTTCCCTCTCGGAATCCTTCCCTTTGATTCAGCCCACCATATGTTCTTTTCTAAGTTTCTGTTTCTCTTTCTTGTGTGCTTGCTCATGTACACACACACACACACACACACACACACACACACACACACACACACACACAGAGAGAGGCATGCATGTGTGGAGGTCAGAGATCACCCTTGAGTGCTGTTCCCCAGGAGCTATCCACCTTGATTTTTGAAACAGGGTCTCTTACTGAATCTAGAATTCCCCCGTGAGCCCCGGGGATCCACCCGCCACCCGCCACCCGCCACGCCCCCCCCATGATGAAATAACAAATACTTGATACCATACCATGCCTGGTTTTTATGAGTGCTAGGGATCGAACTCAGGTCCCCGTGTGTGTGTGTGTGTGTGTGTGTGTGTGTGTGTGTGTGTGTGTGTGTGTGTGTGAAGCACTTTCCCACATCTCCCCAGTCCCTCCACCATGTATTTCTAATCTCTCTGTGTGTGTTTTGGGGGGAGGGGGCAGAGCCTGTACTTGGCCCGGGGCGTTGGAAGGAAATGGGACATATGTTCACCTTCGCAGTAAGAGCAGGGCCTGGGCTCTGGTTTCCAGTGTATTGAACTCAGTGCTGGGTGTCCCACTGCCTAGCTGAGGGGTCTGTGAAAGTAAGCCTTCTCTCGGAGGCCCAGCTTCCTCCACAGAAAGAGGTAGCTGCAGCCTGCTACTCTTCAGTAGGATTATCTGAGGCCGGGGATGGCTGTCTTACCAGCCTGGCTCACCACACCACAACAAGTATGCTTTTCATCTACCCAAGAGGAACCCAGCTGTCCATCTGCCAGAGCACATGTCGCCTCTGGCCCATCCTTTTGTCAGGCTGTCCCCAGGGAGCCCTCGGCTGCTGGCAGAGGAGGCCACCTGGAAGGTGTTCAGCAGAGGGCATCAGGAATGGTCAGACTGAGACCGGCTTATCCATGGAACTGGATGGAAAAGAAAGGAAAGTTCTGGGCAGGCTGAGAGGTAAAGCTTTCATCAAGCACTATATGAATGAAGGGAGCCGGGCGGGTGGTGCAGCACACGCCTTTAATCCCAGCACTCAGGAGACAGAAGCAGGCAGACCTGTGAATTCTGCAGAGGAGTTCCAAGACAGCCAGGGCTACACAGAAAAACTCTGTCTCAACAATAATAATAATAGCAATAATAATGTTTATGGGTGAGGGGCGGGGCATGGTGCTGGGGTGCTCAGGTGGCTCATATGCACATACCTCTCAGGTGGCTCACATGCACACTGGGTTGGTAATGTGGCTCACATGCATACACCTTTCAGGCAGTACAGCAGACAGTTGGTTCCACAGTTGACGGGGATGGAGCCGATGTTCCACGATTGTGTCAGGGTCCTGGGGTAAGTTCTACCACAAGAAGACCCTAGAATGGGCAGTCTGTTTGGCAGGTAATCCCAGGAGTGCAGAGACGGATGGGGGACAGGATGGGGAAGAGGTAACTCAAGGAGTGCTAGTGAGCAGAAGGGCCCAGCCTAGGCTGGCCAGCACAGACAATGTCCTCAACTCACTGATCTGAGGAGATGAAGCATAGTTTAGCTCCCAGCTCTGCTTCAAGTGGCTTCAAAGGCAGTATGTGCCTGGCCTTCCTAACCTGCGCCTGGCCCCAAAGCCTGGGGCAGGAGGGTCAGGGGTGCAGACAGAGCTCTGCGTTCATGCGAAGAGTGAACACCAGCCGGTGAGGGCGCACTGGGACAGCTACTGAGCAGTCACAGGAAGACTGTCACTGTTGTGACTCCGGACTCCTCACCCCACCTCTGACACGCCTGTCTCCGGCACCACTGTCTGTGTCCGCCTTCTCTGTCACTCCACATCCCTGGGAACCAGTTCCCCCAACTCAACAGCTTCCGTACTGAAACACCAACTATCCCCATCCTTAGCTTGTCCTGTGGTATTTCCCACCAGGTCAGGGCACAACCGACCCACCAGGGTCAAACCATGGACACTGCCTCAACTCCCCTGCCTCACACCCACAGGCACTGTCACAGTGGAGCTTCACACCCTGAGTGACTTCAAAGACAGACATCGCTGCCCCGGCTCAGCATCTCTTCTGCTCTCCGGCGCAGCCTTCTCACTGGCCTGCATCCCCACCCACCACTCTACCCAGATCTTTCTAGAATGCTAATCAACACCCCCCCACACACACATCATCATCATCCTCTGTTCAAAGTCCTCTGCTTGGCTTTCAGGCCCTTTCAGGGCGCCCTGACAGCTCACCTCAGACTTCTGACTTCCTCCTCGTGGTGAGTTGAGTCCCGAGTCCCTGTAACCAATCATTTTTCTCCCCTCCCTGTGCACAACAGGCCCGGGAGTCTGGATCATACTTCTTTCCACCCATTGTCCATGATGGACTCTTCCTTAGCCTACAAGCTGGGGCACGCTCCAACAGAGAGGATTCCTGCACGCTACTCTCTGCCCTCAGGGTCTCCATCCAGTGCCCCAGCATGGGACTCAGCCCTGAGCACAGCCTTTTACTTGTGTGGGTTAGTTTTGTGTCAACCAACTTGACACAAGCTGGAGTCATCTGAGATAACCTCAAGTGAGGAAATGCTCCCATCAGATGGCCTGCAGGCAAGGCTGTGGCGCATTTTCTTGACTGGTATTGACGTGGAAGGGGCCAGCCCACTGTAGCCAGTGCGGGGCCAGCCCACTGTGGGCAGTGCCATCCCTGAGTGGGTGGCCCTGGGGTATTATAAAAAAGAAAACCGGGGGCTGGGGAGATGGCTCAGTGGTTAAGAGCACCTGCTGATCTTGCAGAAGACCCGGGTCGAGTTTCCAGCACCCACACAGTGGCTCAGAACTGCCTGCAACTCCAGTTCTAGGGGACCTAGTGACCTCTCTGACCTCCTCTGGCACTAGGCACGCATGTGCTACACACACATGCATGTAGGCAGAAGACTCAACCACATTACAAAAGAAACAAAAACAAACCACCCAACCATCAAAGCAAGCAGGCCCACTGAGCAGGCCAGGAAGCAGTGTTCCTCCACGGCCTCTCCTTCCGCTCCTGCCTCCAGGTCTCTGCACTGGGCTCTTGCCCTGTCTTCCCTTCATGATGGACTGGAAGCTGTGAGCTGAAATAAACCCATTCCTCCCCAATGTGCTTTTGGTCATGGCGTCTGTCACAGAAATAGAAACCTAACTAAGACAACCGTCTTTGCCCCGTGCCTCATCTCACTCGACCCGGATGCTCAGCAGCCACTTAGGAACCGAACCATCCAGAGGCCCACAACTGGCAAGTGTCCTTTTCCCTTTGGACTCACGCTTGCCTGGGCCAGGGGCTGCGCTGTGAACCCTGCTCTCCTACTCAGCTGTAATAGAATACCAGACTGGTCAGCTCATAAACGGAACGCGCTAATTCCTCAGTGTTCTGGAGGCCAGGAGTCCAAAACCAAGGAGTCCAGTAAAGCACTATGTCCTGGCCAAGTCCTCCCATGGTGAGAGAGGCGAGGGTCTCTCTGAGGTCTCTTTTATAAAAGCATTAATCTCCAAAAGATTAATCACTTCCCAAAGGCTAGCATCTCCACTGCAATTGTGGGCTAGGATTTTAGCATATAAATGCTGGGGACACAAACACACAAACATTCTTTCCCACAACCCCCCCCCCTTCCGTGGTGGCAGGATGGATCTGGTGCAGTGGTTAAGCCTGGAACTTCTAGAACCAGGACCATGGGGGAGACCTTGGCCCTTCCAAGCCTGTGAATTGAGAACTGTACACTGTGAGGATGGGATGGGTGAAGCGTCAAAGCCTCCTCCAGCGTTCTTGGAGCGCAGCCTCCCTCCTGAAGCCCAAGTGTGTAAAGTTTGAGTGGCGTGCAGACCTCCAGTCTTCCTGCGTTTCATTACAAGCCCTCTCTCCTTGGAGTCACCTCTGCCCCTTGCTTCCAATCAGAATGTGGCCAGTGCTTCTCTACTGATCCCCAGGGGAGGGAGTTGAGAAGGAACAAAGGCTGCCACCTGCCTGGTCATTAAGGTGTGCCCAAGCTGCTCACAGACTGTCAAATCTGGGCATCTGGGTGTCCATCATTGTCCCTCTGTGCCAATGTAGAACCTGCTCTCAAACTTCTGGGGCTATCTTGGTGTAAGGTGGCCCTCCTGTCTGTGACT